ATTTATTTATTTATTTTGAGATGAAGTCTCACTCTGCTGCCCAGGCTGGAATGCAGTGGTACACGGATGGCCACTACAGCCTTGACCTGCTGAACTCAAGCAGTCCTTCTGCTTCAACCTTCCAAGTAGCTAGAACCGCAGGCACGTGCCACCATGCTGGGTTAAAGTTTTGATTTTTTTGTAGAGAGGAGGTCTTGCCAAGTTGCCCAAATTGATCTCAAACCCTTGAGCTTAGGCAGTCCTCTCGCCTCTGTTTCCCAGTGTTCTGGGATTATAGGCGTGAGCCACTGTACCTGGCTATTCATGTCATTTTATTATTTTCATATGAACCAAGCATTACAGCAAAACCCTCATTTTCTTAGGATAATTTGGACTCTTTGTTTTGTTCACTTACAACATCTGTTTCATTTTAATTTCCCATGCAGAAAAACAGAAATCTTACACTATGTAAGAGATTCTTAGGCAGGATAGAGATATGCTGGGCTTTGTTTCATCCAAGAATCCTGGTTATAATTATGTACATCATTTGTAATCTCCAGACTCTAACAGAATTAGTTGTTAAGAAAGACTAAATCATACTACGATTCCAGTATTGCATCAAAAAATTTTTTCATTTTTAAGAGTTTTAGCTCCAGGATTGTAGAGCGAAACATGGCCAGAGTTAGGCCTTCTTAGTTCCAGGTCCTTCTCTAACATAAGGAGTAGGATCTTGAACCTTGACTTCCTGTGTTCCAGTTTTCTTATTTTTAAGATTGACTTAATAGTATTAACTCCACCTGTTTTTGTATAAAAAGACCAAATGAAAAGTTGTTTGCCAGTGGTCTTTGAAAAGTATGAATTTTTCACATATGTGGCAAATAATTCTATCCTATTTGTGCATTCTCGTATGATGCTTTTGCAATCCTAGTAACATTATATTGTTAATGTCTAGTGCATTTATTATTGTGCTTATATTATTAAAAAAATTTTTAATTCAAAAGTAATACATGGTTGTAACAACTCAGACAACATACGGATAGATAAATAAAGCATTACTGATCTCCCCTTCTCTATTCAGTTTCAACCCACATCCAAAGTCTGAAGGGGAACCCCAAAAACCCTGGAATTTATTTATTAAAAGTTGGTGTCTTCTGACATGCTTAACCTTTAGTCACCTTCAAAGTACTCTCCATTTGATGCAATGCACCTCTTGAGATGCTTTGTTCACTGCTCAGAACAGTTTTTGAACTCTCCAATTGTGATGCCTTTCAGTGCTTCAGCTGTTTTTTTGTTTCACTTCTACATCAGCAAAACGTTTCCCTTTGAGGACTTTTTTCACCCAGGGGAACAGAAAAAAATTGCTTGGGGCAAGATCAGGCAAATGGGGAGGATGGGGCACGGGGGTCATACTGTTTTTGATCAGAAACTGCTGAACACTCAGTGCTCTTAAATCACCCCTCATGAATACAGCAAAAGCATTAAAGAATCTCCAAAAAATTTACCGAAACTGAACACAGCCTTTCATAACAACGCTGGCATGAACACTGATGCTGGTGACCATTTACCTAGTGGGGGAAGACTGTTCTACAAGGGGCCTGCCCTCCAAGAGATAAATTGTGCTTTTTGGGGGGGGGGTGCGTTCTTTCGTTTTTTTTTTTTGAGTTGGCGTCTCACTCTGTCGCCCAGACTGGAGAGCAGTGGCCGCTCCCGGCCACCGCAGCCTCAATCTGCTGGGCTCCGGCGATCCTTTCGCCTCAACCTTCCAAGGAGCCGGAACTACAGGAGCACGCTACCACGCCTGGCTAATTTTTTTATTTATTGTAGAGACGAGGTCTCGCCAAGTTGCCTGAGCGGGTCTCGAACCCTCGGGCTCAGGCAATCCACTCACTTCGACCTCCCAATGCGCGGGATTATAGGCTGAACCACCGAGCCCGGCCTACGTTCCTTCTTTTTATACTATTTTTCCATGTTAGTAAAAACATACAGAGAAGTTATTTTCTTTCTCTCTCTCTCTTTTAAAATATTCCATGCAATCATGTTTTAGATATAGTAGTCAACTTGCCTTTCTTTTGCTTAATAGATGATGGACATCTTCTCAGGTGTATATGTGTAGCTCCAGTTAATTATTTTATTAGCTGCATGATAGTCATTAATATGGCCATATGGAAATTTTTTTTTTTTTTGAGTTGGAGTCTCACTCTGTCGCCCAGACTGGAGTGCAGTGGCCACTCCCGGCCACTGCAGCCTCGCCTGCTGGGCTCCGGCGATCCTTCCACCTCAGCCTTCCGAGTAGCCGGAATTACAGGCATGCGCTACCACACCCGGCTGATTTTTTTTGATTTATTGTAGAGATGAAGTCTCGCTGCCCAGGCGGGTCTCGAACCCGCGGGCTCAGGCAATCCACTCACCTCAGCCTCCCAAAGGCACAGGATTACAGGCTGAGCCACCAAGCCTGGTTGGCCATATGGAATTTTATCAACCATTTCTTTATTGATGAAGGTTATTTCCATTTTTCACTAATTCAAAAACTGCTTTAAAGTCTTTTCATATAATTTTATATACAGTACTTTTATTTCTTTGTATTTTCCTAGAATTAGAATTACTGGTTCAAAAATGCTTGTGTTAATTATTTTTTTCTTTTTGAGTTGGAGTCTCACTCTGTTGCCCAGGCTGGAGCACAGTGGCACGCTCACAGCCACCCCAGCGTCGACCTGCTGGGCTCCGGTGATCCTTCCACTTCATCCTTCCAAGTAGCCAGAACTGCAGGTGTACGCTACCATGCCCAGCTCATTTTTTAATTTATTGTAGAGACGCGGTCTCGCCAAGTTGCCCTGGCTGGTCTCTACCTGCAGGCTCAGGCAATCCACTTGCCTCAGCCTCCCAAAGTGCTGGGATTACAGGCTGAGCCACTGAACCTGGCCGTTAAATTTTAATGGTTACTGCCCAGATTACTTTCCGTTGTGATTATGGTAAGTCTCATTCCCAACAGCCATTATTTCTTCAAGTATTTTCTCTAATTCCTCCTTGCTTACCTATTTTTCAGAGACTCTATTTATACATGTATCAAGCAACTTAAAGTTGCCCAACAGCTCACTGATGTTCTGTTCTTTTTTTGTTATTCATATTTCTTTTTTTCTGTCTTTTACTTTGGGTGGTTTCTGTTCTGAGGTCTTCAAATTTACTAATTTTTTGTTGTGCAACGTCTAAAATCTTTCATTATTTCCTTCTAATTTATCTTTTTCATACATAGCAATTTTCATCTCTGTAAGTTTGGTTTGACTCTTTTTTTATAGCTTGCATGTCTCTACTTGACTTTTTGAACATAGGAAATACAGTTACAGTAAATATTTTGATGCCCTGTCTGCTAATTCTAATATGTGTATCAGCTGTGGGTCACTTTTGATTAATTGATTTATCTCTTCATTATGGGTCATATTGTCCAGTTTGTTTGCATGCCAGGTAATTTTTTATTAGATGCCAGCCATTGTGATATTCACTTTGTTAGATGCTGGATAGCTTGCATTCCTAGAAATGTCCTTGGACTTTGCTCTGGGACACAACTAAGTTACTTGGAAATAACCTTTTGGGTCTTGCTTCCAAGATTTGTTAGGTGATATTAAAACAGTACCAGTCAAGAGTTAATTACTCCCCCCTGATGAGGTAAGGCCTTTCTGTTTATCCCGTGTCTTGATGCTTTACTGTCTGGCTAATGGAACAGACAGTATTTATGACACTGTGAGTACTGCACACTGTTCCCTCTAATCCTTCTGAATGTGTTTTTCCCCAGCCTTGGATAGTTTCTTTGCATACATGCACTGATCAGTACTCAGCTGAATCTTCAAGAGGGGCCCTTTGCAGATCTCTGGAGTTTTTTCTCCAGAGGTCTCACTTCTCAAGTACTCTGCCCTACAAGCTGTAGCTGTCTGAGTCTCTCTTCTCAGCTTTTTCCTCAACTGAGCAAGATGGCTGGGTTCCATCTGGATTTCTCCTCCTTGCACGGGGACCAGGACACTCAAGGATGTAAGCTGGGGGCAATTACAAGCTTACCTTTTTTGCTTCTCATTTCTCAGGGAGGAATCTTGTTCCTTCATCTTAATAGCAGAGGTTTTAGATATGAAGTGTTGCAGATAAGCTAGTTCTTTTTTACACATACAGAAACCACTGGGATGTTCAGTGAAAATCAGCATTCTGTCAGCCAAACAGCTATTTTATTTGTTAGTTATTCTCTTTTCTTTTTTTTTCTTTTGAGTTGGAGTCTCACTCTGTCACCCAGACTGGAGTGCAGTGGCCGCTCCCGGCCACCACAGCCTTGACCTGCTGGGCTCCGGCGATCCTTCTGCCTCAGCCTTCTGAGTAGCCGAAACTACAGGCAGGCGCTACCATGCCCAGCTAATTTTTAATTTATTGTAGAGATGATATCTCACCAAGTTGCCTGGGCGGGTCTCGAACCCTTGGGCTCAGGCCATCCACTCACCTCGGCCTCCCAAAGCACTGGGATTACAGGCTGAGCCAACAAGCCCAGCAGATATTCTCTTTTCAAATTATTGCTTTTGTGTGCTTTACTCCCAAGTTTGAAGTCACTGAAGATTTAACTGTCATATAGAAGGTGTATAAAGTGACCTGACATGGTGGCTCAAGCCTGTAATCCCAGTACTTTGGGAGACTGAGGCGAGAGGACTGGTTGAGCCCAGCAGTTTGAGACCAGCTTGGGCAACTTGGTGAGACCTGGTCTCTACAATAAATCAACAAATTAGCTGGGCGTGGTAGCCCATGCCTGTAGTTCTGGCTACTTGGAAGACTGAGGTGGAAGGATCGCCTGAGCCCAGCAGGTTGACGCTAGGGTGACTGTGAGCATGCCACTGCGCTCCAGCCTGGGCAACGGAGTGAGACTTCAACTCAAAAAAAAAAAGGATATAAAGTAGTCTTCATTGTAAGATTGTTATTTTTTGAATTGGCATTTTTGCAATTAAAGACTACTGTGCCTTACATAACATTTTCATGTTTCTCTTTATTTTCTTCAGAGATTGCAAAAAGGACATTTCAAGAAAAAGGCATCCTGGCAGGAGAAAGCAGAAGTTTTAAGCCTCATTTGACCTTCATGAAATTGTCGAAAGCACCACGGCTCCGTAGGAATGTGAGTGCATGATCACTGTAAGCCAGTTGGACCACACCACGCCAGCCTTACGCATGGTTGGGGGCCTGAGTGATGTTTACAGTGGTCTCTGAAGCCCTACTGCTCTTCCTCCTGGGATTCCAAGGATGCTGAGGATGACTGTGGTCCTCCGTGGAGGCTATTACTGCTGTGCCCTCCTTTGCCACTGTGGCTATTAGTTGCATACTCGGGTCATCATTTATTGCGATACCTTCTATTGCTACATCTGCTCATTCCTTGAAGAGCTCTGAGGCAGCACCAGAGTTTGGTTTTGCTGCTTTCTTTGCTGATGGTTATTCACATCCTGTTGCTTTCAGAGCTTCCTCCGCTGGCCTGCATGCACTGATGCTCACCCTTTATATAATTCTTTCAAAATTGCCCCCAAACCCCGCCTCCCAGCTCCTTCTGCAGTAGCCTCCATCAAGGGCTTGGAGCAGGTATACCAGGAACTGGACAAGAGAGTAACTGAAGGACTTCTTCCAACCCTGGGGTGTTTCACAGTACTTCTCCCTAAGGAGTGTCCTCAACAGTGGCACAAGCCAAGGGACATGTATTCTGATGTCCTTTACTTCAGGGTGATTTACTGTCTTTCCAGGCCACCCCTTCCTCTCTTAGAGACTGGCACGACTGTCTTCTGGATTCATGGGCATTCCTCTTAAAATCCTAAGGGTACCCTTCATTGCTTTTCCCATTTCAGTCTAGGGGGTTCCTCATGCAAATTAAGACATCTGATGGCCTGCTCTGATATACCAGAGTTGTGGAGATGGGCTTGCAGGTTCATAACCGCTCTCTGCCCTCCAGGACCCTAGGCTGCAGTTGAGACTGATTTGCAACTCTGTAAATGAAAGTCACGTTTATTAGTGAGTAAGACCTTTTTCTAAATTTGGCACATTTTACATTGAATGTCTCTGTCCTCAGAGAGTCCTTCTGGTCCTTTAAAACATGGGTTTGGGTGATTCACTGTCCTGTGGTTATGGGCTTTCTACAAATTATTGTTAAAAAGCTCCTCAAAAAGATATCTTGCATGCTTTTGAAATCTGAAATGATAGCAACTTTTAAAACTTGCAGACTGACAGTTTACTTCTTTACTGGTTATCTTTCTTGTTCTGCTTTCAAATGGATTGTCCTCTTCCAAGTGGTTTCAGACTTAATCACAGAATGACAAATCAGTGGTGAAGGTAATATCCCCATTTCAAAATGTTTTTGTTTTCACTTGAACTTTGAAAGAGAGCACCCAAGGACATTTATCACAGGAATGTTTGAACTACTCTAGAATCAATATTTCAACATTTCAAACTGCATTTAAATCATTTCCTGGCAGTTAATTTCACAGAATCAATTCACTTACTCTATAGAAAAGGGATATAAGACTTGGAAAGGTGAAGTGATGCAAATGAGATCACAGCCTGGTGAGTTCCAGAGCCTAGTCTCTGTACCTGAGAACACATCTCAGCAGCTTCTCAGTTTCATCTTCTTCCCTCCCACTGCCAGTGCTAGTTTACTCGGTCGTCTCTGTGTGTGAGGAGTTCCCTGGTCCAAATCATGGTAATTTAGTAAATGTGTACTGAGTGGCTACTATGTGCCAGACACAGGGTGCTGGGCACGGAGTGGTCACCAAACAGTCACTGCTTGAATGGTGTATAAAATCTAAATCCGATTGCATTTTGTTTGGATTGGAATGCTTAATCTTTAGAAAATAAATTATGATCTTATCGTCTTTTGGAAAGCCAAAGAAGACTTTTTAAATTCTTTTAATTTATGGAACGAGTCTATTTCAATCATAACTATGATGATCGGTGTTCCTAAAAGCTTAAAGAAGTAGATGGTAAATTTGGGGATTCATGAGTCAGGTGGAGTGCTTGTTCAAGCTGCAGATTTCCACCCTTTACCCTTAGATTTGGAGGTGGGCTTAGGACCTAGACTTCAGATGTTCAGTAAATACCATGTATGGTTCTGGTGCAGGTGGTCTGCAGAGTAGTATACTTTGAGACCTGCAGACTTAAATAAATATCTAGCAGTTTTTTTATACAGCAAATCTACTGCCAAAGGTGACATACATCCAAGACAAAGTGGATTTCATTTATTTGTTTTATTGTAATTTGTGATTTTAAATGTAGATTGTTTGTAAATATATGGCTCCCTGGTCTCATTCTTCTTAACTTTTTTATATTTCCAACTATCTGTTTTCCTCCCTCAGCACTAATTCTTTTTTAGGCTTTTATTGTTTGTCTACTCATTTACAAATGAGGGGCTATTGATTAAAATAGTGATGGAATGCATTGCTACCTTTCCATATTATTTAGATTGTTAATGAAATAAAAAGGGGGAGAGAGAGAAAGGTGAAATATTAGTTTTTCCCTCCACTCCTACATTAGGAGATTTGACTCATTTCAAGTACTTTATTTTTTATTTTAAAAGCAAATTATAAGACGGGCTCGGTGGCTCAGCCTGTAATCCCGCGCCTTTGGGAGCCTGAGGTGAGTGAATTGCCTGAGCCTGTGGGTTTGAGACCCACCTGGGCAACTTGGCGAGACCTCATCTCTACAATAATCCAAAAATTAGCCGGGCGTGGTAGTGCGCGCCTGTAGTTCCAGCTACTTGGAAAGCTGAGGCGGAAGGATCGCCGGAGCCCAGCAGGTCGAGGCTGCGGTGGCCGGGAGTGGCCACTACACTCCAGTCTGGGTGACAGAGTGAGACTCCAACTCAAAAAAAAAAAAAAGTAAATTATAAAAGTACTATCAGGATATATACTCACTGCAATAGTTCAAATACATACAAACCCAGAGAGTGAAAGATACAATTTTTCCCTTCCCATTACCCTACCATCCCTTTCCTTTCAATGTATTTTCTCTCTCTCTCTGGGCAACCACTACGAGTTTATCTTTTCAAACCTTTTCCTATGCAAATATATATAGGCACATACATACACATGTAGTTATTTAAAACAGAAATAAAACTTGATATTATTATTTTAAACATTCTTCCCGTGGTAAACAGTTAGATTTATTTCTATTTCTTTGCTACTACACACAGTGCTACAGTGAACATCTTTGTTCACTTTTCTTTGGGTAGATATGCCAGTATTTCAAGGAACCTGTTATTAGAAGAATTCTAAGGTCCAAGGGTATTGTACAGTATAACTTCAAAAATACCTCAGATTGCCTTTTCAAGCTACAGTGCCAATATACTCTCCCAATCACAGTGTATAAGAACATTTGTTATAATAAATTTGTGGCAAAAGGACTATCAGAGATTATGAACAGTGGCTTATAAAATTGATATGGCCCTTTGAACTGTGAATTATGCAACTGACATTGAAAAAACATTAAAAGTTGTATGTTCTTGGGCCAGGCACGGTGGCTCATGCCTGTAATCCCTGCACTTTGGGAGGCTGAGGTAAGAGGATTACCTGAGCCCTTAGGTTTAAGACCAGCTTGGGCAACTTGGCGGGACCTCATCTCCACAAATAAATAAAAAATTAGGCATGGTGACTCATGCTTGTAGTTCCAGCTACTTGGAAGACTGAGGCAGAAGGATCGCCTGAGCCCAGCAGGTTGAGGCTGTGGTGACTGGGAGCGTGCCACTGCCGTCTAGTATGTGTGACAGTGAGACTCTAACTCAAAAAAAAAAGTATATTCTTTAAGATATCCTTGCTGCTGATATTATTCTAAAGAAATAATTTAAAAAAGGAAATTATTTACATATAAAGTCGTTTACTGAAATGTTGTCAATAATAGGGAAAAATTAGAAATAACTTCCATAACAATAGGAGAATATTTAAGTCAATTACAGTAAAACTTATCAATGAAGTAGTGTTACATTTTTAAAAATATTATAAAGTTTATATTCTTTAAGATGTCTTTATGTAGCCGGACTCGGTGGCTTGGCCTGTAACCCCGTGCTTTGGGAGGCCGAGGTGAGTGAATTGCCTGAGACTGCGGGTTCGAGACCTGCCTGGGCAACTTGGCGAGACCTCATCTCTACAATAAATCAAAAATCAGCCGGGCGTGGTAACGCGCACCTGTAGTTTCAGCTACTTGGAAGGCTGAGGCGGGGATGGCCGGAGCCCAGCAGGTCGAGGCTGCGGTGGCCGGGAGCAGCCACTGCCCTCCAGTCTGGGTGACAGAGTGAGGCTCCAACTCAAAAAAAAAAAGAAAAAAGTTGTATAAAAATAATTTCTTTCAGTTTGCCTTGCACAACTCCCAGGGTGTTTTAGTGCATTTCAGAGGTAAAAAATGGGTCACAATTGCCCTTTTAGCCCGTGATTTTTCTGGCAGATGAGTGAGTAGAGCTGACCTTAATGTCACCCAGAGAATATGGTAAATCCCCTTTGACTTGCTGACATGTCCCTTTTTGGTTGGGGTTTACCGGGTTCTGAGGAAGTGTCAGGCCTTGATGAGCTGCGCATAGTATGAAGTGGTGGTGGCCACTCCATGGCCATTCAGGAGTAAGGGTAAACTACGGGGTTCAGAAGGCCTGGAGGTTTTTTGTTGTTCTGGAGAGTGTAGTTTCTGGTTGGAAAGGGTGTGTATAGTGAGAGGTTCTGGAAAAGAGTTAAATCTCCTGCCAAGATGCCCTGTCTTGAAGACTGGTGTCAGTTGGTATAGTGCTTATTTTAATGTGGTCTGCTAGCATATAGTCTAGAAATAATTTTGTGTATGATATTGGTATACTCCTAACATATTGGTAGTCCTATTGTTGGAGTAAACATGATGATTATTGGAAAAAAGAGGTGTGCTGGATTTTTGTAGGCTTATTTTGAGATAGTAAGACAGTCCATTATTATCTAAGGAGGTGTAATGAGATATTCCATGGAAGTACCTTGATTGAGATTTTTTTCCATTATCTAGTCATTGTCAGTGACCTGGAAAGCTGTTATCTATGTCAACTTAAAAAAATAGATTCAAAGTCAGAGTTATAATCAGTCTGCTTATGAAGGTAGCATCTCATTGCCATCAAAGATGTGGACAGATGACTGGTGC